TTTTTTTTTTTTTTTTTTTTTTGCGCCTGAAGAACATTCACTGGTATCTTTTTAATTGTGGGGCTGCTGGTACAGACTTCTCAGTTTTTGCTTGTCCGAAATGATTTCTTTCCCTCTCTCTCTTTAAGGATATTATTACTGGGGATGTCAGTTCTAGGTTGGCAATGATTTTCTTTCAGCCCATTGAAGGTATATTCCATTGTCACCTGGGTTCCATTGTTGCTGTTGAAAAGTCCATAATAATTTAAACTGTCGTTCCTCTAAAGGTAATCTTTTATGGTCAACTGTCTTTAAGATTTTTCTCTTCATCTTTAGTTCTCTGTAGTTTTAAAATGATGGTTCTAGGTGTGTATTTCTTCTTATTTTTTTCTCCCTGAAGTTCCCAAGCCTTCATGAATTTGGGAATTCATGGGAAAGGCCTCAGCTGTCATCCATGAAATTGCTTCAACTCACTTTTCCTCCTGGGATTCCAATGTTAGATTTTTTTCTCCATATTCTCTGTGTTTCCCATGATGTCTTCTGTATATTCCAAATTTTGCCTTTCCATGCTTCATTCCAAACCTGTCTTCCAGTTCACAAATTCTCCCTTCAGGTCTGATCTGCTGTTAAACTCACCCATTGAGTTATTTCAGGTATTGTGTTTTTTAGTTCTAGAATTTCCATTTGGTTCTTTTTCAGATTTGCTCTCTCACTTTTTAGAATGTTATGTACTAAGTTTTTAATATTTTTTTTATTTTCTCAAACACAATACACATAGCAATTTAAAGTCCATATCTGATAATTACGAACTCTAGAGCCACTTAAGAGCTCTTTTGATTGTCACTCATCTTTTCTCCAGTGTGACTGGTTATCTTCAATTGTGTGATGGACATTATATTGAAAATGTTTCATAGAAATAGTTTGAGGCCTAGGATCAGGATCTGTCCTCTAGAGAGTTTTGAGTTATTTCTATCAGGTTCCTGGGGGAATAACAAACTGGGATCATTTTAGTCCATTTTCAGGGCTTGAGATTTTTCTGGGCAGACCAGATGGCTCAGAGCTGGATTGCAGTCCTTTCAAAAACTGGTTTATTTCTATCCTTGGAGGTCTCTGGACATCAGCTCTTGGATGCTTAAGCTAAAAAGTGATCCCAGATGCTGAGCCCACCTCTTTAAATTTTCATCTTCTCCCAGATATTTTTCTCACTATTTTATTAACTCTTTGATACTTTCAAGATTTAAAAATATATACATTTTGTTTAACTTTTCAGTTGTTCTTAGTGGGAAGGTCGAGTACAAATTGCGTGTAGCTTTTACTTATGGACATCATTTTCCAAAGTTTTATTCACATATAAGTGAAGCATTCTTTTGTTGTGGTTGATTATTTATTGATGTTTCAGAGGCCTTATAACCTTCCCATATTTACTAAGTACTCTGTAAAGTTCTTTGCTTTGTGTACTCCAGGTTCTTAAATGCCATTTGTTTGCTAAGTTGTTTTTGTGCCTTTGGTGGATAATATCAATAGATGTTGACAGGATAATCATGGCTTCTTTTGAGACCACTGTTGGCCACAGAATGCAGTGTTAATTAGGCCTTGTATATGATCCAGTATAATAATTCCCATTTGGAATTCCAGTCAGTTAACAGCTACGGAGTAGGTGCCATGTGCTACATTTCCCTGTGTATCTCATTAAATTCCTATGCACCTATTGCACTTCAGATTTTCTGTTTTTTTTTTTTCTCTTTTCTTTAAGACAACAAGCTTCATGAGGGCAGGGTTTGGGTTTCCTCTGTACAAAACAGCATTTGATGAAGATATTGATGATTAAAGTTGCTGCAACCAATCTGAATTCATTAAATATTTTATATTTTGATATTTTTACTTACCATCATATTATAAATTATCCAATGGTTTCAAATATTCTTTCAAAACCTGATTTTAATGGCCACAGAGAAGCACTATTCAACAGAAACTTCTGTGAGAATGGGGATGTTTGGTACCACTGCTATCCAGTATGGTAGCCACTTGTCACATGTGGCTATTGAGCATTTGAGCAACTGAGGAGCTGAATATTTAATTTTATTTAATTTTAATACATTTAAATACCACATGTGGCTGGTGGTTACCATTATTGGACAGTGCAGCTAAAGAATATTTACTCCACCACCATGAGAGACTTCGAAGTTATTTCCATTTTTTGCTAATATAAGCAGCATTGGAATGACTGTCTTCAGTAGAAATCCGTGTCTGTACGCCTGATCATTTTCTTTAGTTACATTTTTTAGAAGTAGGGCAAGGAACACCAACCCATTTGTGGTTTTTAATTCATATTGCAAAAACATTTTCCCAGAAAGACTGTACCAATTTATAACATTTAAACCTGTTACCAGACTAAGAATTCTAAATAAATTAAGCAGTTAAAAGTAATCAATGAACGACATGCCAAAATATGTAAGAAAATATAGGTGCATATTTAACTACTTTTGAAGTAAGGAAAGACTTTCTAAACTTAAAAGTGATGAAAGTAATTACAAAGGAAGAGGATCAATAACTTCAGCTGTATAAAAATTTCAAACTTTTGTTTTAAATAGAAAGGGAACAAAAGACTGGGGAAAACTTTGCAGCAAAAAGAGGTTTATCTTTAATATATAAAGTGCTATATGAGGAGGAAAGGAGTTTATCTTTAATATATAAAGAGCTACTCCAGATCAATGAAATTAATCCTATATAAGAAAATGGGCAAAGGATGTGAAACAATTTACAGAGAAGAAATAAGAAGATTCAATAAGATTATGAAAAAGAGTCAATTGTACTAGTAACTAAAGAAATACAAGTTTAAAGAAATACGATTTTCATCTTCATAATGTAAATTACTTATAATGACAGTTTCTATGGTATGCATTTGTAGAACTCAACAAAATTATAATATTTAAATGATTTCCTAATAAATATTAAGAAACACCAAAATGGTAAAATGCATGATCAGTTCTACTGCATGGTCACAAGAAGGCCGTTCATCACCCAAAGCCTACAGCAGCTTGAAAGGCTCTCACATCTTCAGGAACCTGAGTCACTTCAGGATTTAACCTCAAGCCCAGTCCATTCCAGCACACATGGGTCTTCTCCCACTTCTTATGGGAGAACTGTCAATAACCTTCTTACCAAATAACCCCCAGAAAGATAAATCCGGCCCCAAATTGTGCAGACAAAATCAATGAACTGAACCAGGGGCTCCTAGACTTACCTTTAATGATAACATAATTCAGGTGCTTCTTAAAAATGGAGCATGAAGCATTTTCAATATGCTAAGGCAATTACATGAATTATTTAATTAATGAGTATTTAATCTTTATAACGATTTGGTTGTCATCCCCATTTTACTGATGGAGAAACTGAGGCTTTGCAAAGGTAGATAACACAGCTAGTAAATGGCAGGGCCAGGCTTCAAAGCCAGGTCTGACCCTGAAGGCCATAAATCAAACCAAGATGCTGTGAGGTCTCAGTGAAAGTAACGGGGTGATGAGACAGCATTCCCATGTGAAGTGACAGATGTGCAGATGGCAACACGGTCAATGCCTTTACATTT